TATACAGCTGGATGTGTGTGTCTGCATGCATGGCTATAAGTGTGAGTCTGTGCAGAAATATGTGCGTACATTGTTAGGAGTGTGGGAGTGGAGCTGCACTGTGTGGATTTATGTGTGTGGCCTGTGGATGTGTGCGTGCACATGGCTATTAATGTAACTTTGGAGACGCCTCTTTGCACACTGCACTGAGTGTGTGTGTGTGTGTGAGTGTGCTTCTGCATAACTGTGTGTGAGGGCATTCATCTGAGAGAAAACACAAACATCTAAGTGCCCCCGCATTTGTTTACCCCCTTGAACTTTCTGTAATCGTGTATCAATGCGCGCGCGTGCACGAATAAGAAGGATTTGCCGCCGCCACACTCGTCCCTGTACAAATGAATGGACACAATAAAGCAACGGGATCAAACGAACACATTGATCTGCGTCTGTGAACACAGAATCAGACACAGGAGACACAAAGACAAAGAGGTGAGATGAAACGGGGGAAAGCTTGTTTTTCAGGAAGCAGGGTTCACTGATAGGAGCTGCGCCGCAGACTGTCGACAAATTATTCTTTTTTTTTTAACAATGTGGCCCTCTGCTCTGTACATGTTCTCTACCGTGTAGTGTAATACAGCAGCTGTGTTACATGCTGGTGTTCAACCTAAAATGCATAACGAGTGAAAGGGTACAATGCACAAAAACCTAAATATGACAATTTGTTGACCTATTCTCAAATTGCAAAGCACAGGAAATCAAACACTGAAGCCTCACTGGTTGCTTGGAATAGCTATGGCAGTTGCTGACTTTTACAAGTTGCACACGTTCTTACTTTCTCACTTTAATTTACTGAACATTGATTGACACGACTTTATTAGTTGGATAAGATAATGTCCCAGAGGTGTTCTACTGGATTTAGGTCAAGCGAGCGTAGGGGCCAGTCATCCTCCAGGAACTGCCAACATACTCTGCCGCACAAGGCTGGGCACTGCTATGTACCAGGAGGAACCCAGGACCCACTGCACCAGGATTTTATCACGATACCTAATGGGGGCCGAGGTGTCATTGCCTAACCTGTAGAGGCCTGTGTGTCCCTCCATGGATATGCCTCCCAGACCATCACTGACCTACCACCAAAACCAGCCATGCTGAACAATGTTACAGGCAGCGTAACACTCTCCACGGCTTCTCCAGACTCTTTCACATCTTTCACACGTTCAAAGGGTGAACATGCTCCAGTGGTAGATTCTGGTATTCTATGGCAAATGCCAATTGGGCACCAGTGTGACCAGTGTGGTTTCGAGTGTCATTTCGAAGGGCTCTGGCAGTGCTCATCCTGTTCCTTGCCGTTGCACAAAGCAGCAGATACTGATCCTGCTGATGAGTTAAGGACCTTCTACGGCCCTGTCCAGCTCTGCTAGGTATTTGCTTGTCTACTGGTGTCTCCTCCATGCACCTGAGTGTGTTGGGTGGCTGTGTGCAGGCAGGAATAGGACCCAAGGTGCAGACTCCGGAGACAGAACTTAAACCAAAACAGCTTTAATGCTGAACTCAAACATAACATAACATAACTGGGGAAAAAGGTCAAAAATAAACTAACACCGGCGGATTGACAAAACACACAGCAAAATAAACGGTAGATCGCGACACGGACACAGAGAAACACAGGGCTTAAATACACGGAGGGAGCAATCAGGGAATGAGTAACAGGAGGGAAACACAGCTGGGACAAATCAGAACTGACGAGACCAAAGAAGCGTAAACTGAACACACTGAGATAAGACAGACCTTCAAAGTAAAACAGGAAACACATAACACAGACTGAACAAAGACACAGTCGCACGCACTGTAACAGAGGGAACAGAGACGTGGGACCAGGGCAGACACAGACACTGACTGGACACGGGGATATAGCAACTAAGGATACACAGAGACGCGAACTAGACAAGGGGATACAGCTGACAGGGGAGACAGAGCAACTAGAGAAGACAGAGACATAAACCATAAGACAGAACTCAAAGAAACCAAAAACTAGAAAGTATAAATAATATAATAACCTCAAAAACCCTGGGTCAACGACCCAGGCATCCTAACAGAGTGCTGGGAAACAAAGAAAACCTTGGACTTCCTAGAGAAGCACAGAAAAATGAATAACACCTAAGACAAATTGGTCATTCAAATTTTTATTTAGCACGTCAGACATACAAACAACAAAATACTACTTCACATACTACATGACACAAAGTAATCTTGAACAGTTGCAGCGCAAGAAACATAGATTTCAGGGCTCTGGGGAAACTAAAAAAAGCACTAGTGCTGATATTAAGAACAGGAAGTCTGTTTGCACCCACAGCTCAACTGGTTGAATATAAACTGCTTCAGGTTTACCTCTAACTCTAATCTACCAACAGTCAGTGTTGATATTATCAGCTGAAGTTAGTAAAACATGTGCATTATTTCCTTACAAATCTCAAAAGCCAATTACAACTTATTTTAAAAATGCTAATTATAACAAGCACAGTCTGAAAGTTCAAGCTCTGAGTTATGGTGCAACATCAGCACTTGGTGTTGTTGGACTGATATTTGCCTCCGGGCCTTGTGTTAAATTCAGGGTCTTGTGGGAAAAATGACTTAATACCAAGCAACAACTTGTAAGTTTGTACTTGTTGAAACTCAAACAAGCTGTCAACACCCTTTATTGAAGTTTTTTCTTGATGGTGGTTGCTTTTGACTTGTTCTGTTTCACTACTCAGACATGCGCCCAGTGAGTAACGCGATTCATCTTTAAGATTTAAGAAGTTGTTTTTAGCCATTCCTCTCTCAGCATGCTGCCACTGTGTACTTTTTGCACTTTTTTAGCAAATAAAATAGTGACTTAAGGGTAGGCTGAAAAAAGGCCTTTCTGGTCAAATTTTTTTAAACAGGCGCTCATAACTGTGATCTTTTGCACCCATGCACATGTCTGACAGTGTACTGAAAGTTGTTCTACTTGTGTGTGAAGGAAAGGTAATGAGCAGGAATTCAATTGGTTACAATCTCCAACCTTATCACAAAACAGCACTAAAATCTACGCTCTGTGCTCTGGGAAATATTCAGATTTGCTCCCTGCAGTCTCATATCAGGGCAAAATTTTTGTGACTTTCTGGCTTTTGCTCCTATTGTAGCAATCAGACTGAAGACTCGAGTGTACGATTGTGTTGGTTTTTACTGCCATTTTAATAATGCATCAGTACAGATGCTCAGAGATTCACAGATTATACCCAACCGGTTCTGTGGGAGGTTTCTGTCACCAGGTGCTTGCTCACATTGGCATCAACTGATTGTTGACGTTTTCACTCTCTTATTGTAGGTTCTTTAACTTACAATATAAACTGCTCTTAGCCTGACTGTTGTTGCATTTTGGCTACAATATAAAATGTAATCGAATTGAATTTTCTTCTGATTTTGACCAGAAGTTCTCCTCCTATAGTTCCACCTACATATAAGTGCTAAATATCACACTTTTCAACTGACCACTTTTGTTTTTTACATCTAAGGACTTTCTGCCTTATTAGGATTAACTAACACACACACACACACACACACACACACACACACACACACACACTGATGAACCAATCTGTGGTTCTCTATCTACTCTGGCATAAGATTGGAGGAGCCAGGGATTGAACCACCAAACTTCCAACTGGTATTTGACCTGGTCCATCTTCTAAGGCAAAACCGATCCCTACACATGCCCTCAGTACAGCATCTCCATACTAGTCTAAACAAGAAGCAAGTGTGGCCAAGGATCAAACCAGGTCATTATAGACTCCATTCAAAGTCTGCCAATAGATGTCTCCAAGTTCTGCACACTGGAGGAGGTGAATTCTTGTCTTTCCCATAGTTTGACATGAAAGCAGTGTAACAATACCAGCAGTGAGCATATTTCGAAGTAACCAATTGACTTTGCTGCTTAAGGGCTCTAGACAAACTGGTGCCACGATTCAGCACGTGGATCTGTTATTCAACTGGTGATGCTAATCTCTGTCTCCTTTTCTCTGCGTATCCTTGCTAGTGTTGTGTAATCGCTGCTTAAACAGTCATGGTGTGTAGTGATTAGTGACAGCCCACCAGGACGGGCCTTAATGACACACACTGTGTTTACATTACATTGCATTACCTCCTGGTTCAGCCGGGGGATTATGTTTCTGCTGGGACGATGACTCTATTTATACCCACACACACACACACACACACACACACACACACACACACACACACACACACACACACAGTGGGATATTGAGACACATACACTTATGATAGAGAACGTAAAAACCCATTTTGGGCCTTCAACACCTTCTATCCTGTATGTCATGTCCGTGCTACGGATTTGTGTGTGTGTGTGTGTGACACCACGTTTTGAGCTGTGTAAACTGTTTATTGCATGGAGATGAAAGGCCTCATGAACCCTGTCTGGGTTGCTGCACAGGCCACAGACACACAACATCGTTCTGCCTCTTTTCTTCCCACCAATAATTACTGATACCCGCTATAGAAGTCTGATTTACATAAAGCGTCACATTTGGATGTGCCGCGCCTTTTATCTTTGGCTCGGAAGCTCTTTCCCTTGTCTGTCTGCTTGTTCTCATTGCCTGTTTTCCCCTCTGCGCTCAGATGCTTACAGACACACACACACACACCATTTGATTGATCGAAATGTGAGCGGCAGTCCATTTCTCTGATGAGCTTTGAGCAGACGTTGCATGTCAGCACTCCAATCGGTGTGCTTGTCCCAGTGGAAGATAAGGACACTGTACATACATGCATTTATGATATATATGGTGTAATGCGCGTGTGAGAGACAGAAACTGTGACCAATTTGTCATATTTTAGTTGCATTTAGTCTTCAGCAATTGCCTTTTACTCATGTGATACAGCAGATGTTTATTCTGTAGTCATACAGTCAACTTATCCTGAGCTGCTTCCTCTGTAATAACACATTAATTACTCCCTTGTTTGTCTTTCTGTCTCTTCAGCCTGAGGAGCTGACCAACGCCTTGGAGATCAGCAACATCGTATTCACCAGCCTGTTTTCTTTGGAGATGCTGCTGAAGGTTTTGGTGTATGGGCCCTTTGGCTACATCAAAAACCCCTACAATATCTTTGACGGCATAATTGTGGTCATCAGGTGAGGACTCGCTCTCTGGCAACAGGAATGCCCTCAAATAAAACACGTATCCTTTTCTGCACTCGGCTTCTATATTTAAAAGGATGCCACTGGGAACACAAACCCTGCTCAGTGCAGTGAAAACGAATTCAACTCCCACATGAATTCTTCTATTTTTGTCCAGATCTCATACGATGTCAGATCTTCAAACAAAATGTAATAAAATACAAAACGCAACCTGACCGAATGAAATGCACAGCCTTCAAATAATGTTTGTTGAAGCAAAAAAAAAGAAAGGAAAAAGAGTCCCTGACATCATTGTGGTGGAATTTTGCAGCCATATCATATCCTGTTAGAGACCAGAGTTCATGTTTGTCTCTGTCAAAAGATCTCTGCCTAGATCAAGACCCAGTTGACCTTTGGGTCTATCTTTTTGTTTTCTTTACCTGTGTTTGGTAACTTTTGTCTACATTGTCCTAAAAGAGGGTTTCAAGGTCATCTGGGTGCATTGTGACAAAATTTAGATGAAAGGTAAAGTTCTTCTTCCTTTACCTGACCACTCCGCAACTGAGTGGGCACAAATGGCTGCCCTTCCCGCAGCCTGATATTTCCAGAGGTCTCTTCCTGTTAAAAGGGAGTTCTTCTTTCCCACTGGTGCCAACTGCTGTCCATAGGGTGGAGTGCGATAATGAGAATTAGAATTTTCTCTCAAATATTTTAAGGCACTTACCTGTCAATAAAAAAGCACCATTGTTGTGAATTGGTGCTACATGAATTGAATAGAAAAAAAGGTTGCTGTGGTGTGTGCGCCAGTGTAAGAACTAAACAGGAGGTTTCTTATTTCGTTTCGACATGTTGGAAAAGGGAACGTAATCAGCGATGTGATCCAGTTGCTAGTCCGGAGAGACGAGGTTGTGTTGGCTTTATTATTGTTTGCCAATCTCTCAATTTCAGCCCTGTCTTCATATCGAAACATTCATTCTGAATTCCTTTATCCCTGGGAGAAAGAAATCAGAAAGTTTATTTCAGAAAGGGTTTGTTTTCAGTCACGTAAAAGTGCATTTATTTTATTTTATTTTTTAAAAAAGCTGAAATGGAGAGAAAACACTTTTTTTTTAAAAAAAAAAGAGAAAAAGAGAATACTGTTGTGCTTGTTGTTCTGGCTATTTTGATGGTTCTGAAAAATGATTGAACGGGATTGGTTGTCATCAGGCCTCGGTGTGTCTAGTCCAGCTGCAGGTTATCAATGTAGAGTCGTAGTTCTTTGGATATATTAATCCAGATTTCTTTTTCTTTGCTTTTTTTGTTTTTTTTACACAAACCCACTTTGTATTGGGTAACCTTAGTCCTCCAGCACGCAATTATCACTTAATACTTGTATATATAAAACTGTGCATCACAGCATTAAATTAAATAAAATATAAAACAATTTCTTATGTATCAAAAACTAAAGACATTAGTAGAAAATTGAATACATTTTAAAGCACTGTCTGTGAAGATTTTTTATATTTATCAGTAATACCATATTTAGGACTTAGGAAAATATGGGAGTTCTTCCTTTCCACTGTCACCAACTGCTTGTTTATGCAGGTTTGTTTGATTGTTGGGGTTGTCTCTGTATTGTTGTAGGGTTTTTACCTTACAATATAAAGCACCTTGAGGTGACTGTTGTTGTGATATGGTGCTGCATAAATAAAATTAACTGAATTTAATTGAAATTAATTTTATGTACAACACTAAACTGGAGTTAGGCAAAGGTACAGAATAGTGTCTGGTAATCTCATAGTGGTGCATCAAATCTTTCCTTCACCTGGAGGTGGAGACCAAAACTGAGCTAAAAGGAGACGGAGCTTGTGTCTAAGTACATTTTCACACATAAATTTCAGATCAGTTCAGGAGGATAAAGCTAAGATATTTTCTACAGTTATGTTATGTTGTGTTATGTTATTTTATGTGTTTGTTTACAGGTTTCTCTGCTGATCCAAAGTGGCCAGAAGAATAAATACTTTCATTCACTGATTAAAACAAAAAATCATTTTTAAAGCATTAAAAAAGCAGCACATTTTCACCATTTCATAACTTACTAAAAATGTTATTCTTTGTAGAAAATGATTGTGCAGTGCTAGACCATAATTTGTGTCAGTGTGGTCAGGACCACATCTGGGAACCCGCAGTGTTTAGGGAAAGTGAAAAATTGGGTTTTTGCTCGCCTGACGTGAAGACAGTTCACTGGAATTTGGACCTTACGTGAATTATAAATGTGTTTTTGTCTTTTCTCCGGACAGCGTGTGGGAGATCGTGGGACAGCAGGGTGGGGGTTTGTCAGTGCTAAGGACTTTCCGGCTGATGCGCGTCCTCAAACTGGTCCGCTTCATGCCGGCCTTACAGAGACAGCTGGTGGTGCTCATGAAGACCATGGACAACGTGGCCACTTTCTGCATGCTCCTCATGCTCTTCATCTTCATCTTCAGGTATTCTTAGGGGGAGAGTGAGTGAGTCAGGCTGAAAAAATATTTATGTTTCAGTCTTCCACTTGTTTAAACAGTAGGGGAGGTAGGCACCACTCTATTTCTCAATTCTAATGGAAGAATAACATCAAAAGGGGAAAAAAGTGTTTCAATCACTGACCGTGGAACTGAAAAGAACAAAGGCGATGAATGAAGGTAAACTGGTAAATCAGTACACGATAACTTCTGTGTGAGAAGCAAGTAGTGTTGAGAGCGACAGGAACAGTGAGGTGATTTAATCGGGGGGAAAAGACTAAAGTGGTTCCCTCTTTCAATCAGCATTCCATCTTTCTGGCTGGGTAGACTTTGTGGCTGAGCCCAAAAAACCCACTCAATTGTTAAATAAGACAGTAAATGCTTCTCTGTGTATTTCAGACCCCCACCTTTATTTAAGAGGGAGTGTTACGACTAAAGGAGCATGTCTCTGTGTGTATCCGAAGAATTTGCTGCTTCATTTCAACAGCTTATTGAGATTTGTGCCCTCACATACACGCGTGCACACAGATGTTTCAGTACACAGGCGCGCACACACAAATACACAAAGTTCCAAGGGCCTTGTATATGCATAGATAAACAGCTCTTGATTTGAGTGAAGGCTTGCCAAGTTGACGCAGCGGAGGCCTGTTCATTGATCCCTCAGCTCCAGTTGAGCTTCAGTGTCTGTTCCTGAATAAAAGGCAGACTGCGGTGCCGACTCACTGCTGCTTCATAATAATAACACCCCCGCTTAGTTGTTACATGTAGCTTAGCTTTCTTTGTCTTTATCCCCTCTGCCTTTCATAGTGTTGCCTTTGCTTCGCTGCGCCAGTCTACCCATATTTAGCTGTGTCACTGTATATGCGCCACTATATACTATTTACTCTTTACTACAGTTCTTCGTGTGTCTGCAGATAGAGCTTTATATGGGTATATGTTTGGAGTTTCTCATTCCACATGTTGTCATGCTACAGCCTTTTTCCAAAATTGATTACATTTATTTTGTTCAACTTAAAATTCTACACACAATACCAGATAATCACAAAATAAAAAGAGATTGAAATTCTTGCGGATTTATTAAAAATAAAAACAAAAATATAACATGTGCATAAGCATTCACACCCCTTGCTACAGGGATGGTATTAAGCAGATCATGAGTGGTGCCTGGTTTCCTCCAAGCAGACATTTTTCACATTGCCATTATGGGGCATTGTGTGTAGAATTTTAAGGCGGAAAATGAATTTAATCCATTTGGAATATAACATGATAGCATATGGAAAAAGTGAAGTGCTGTGAATAGTTTCTGCTCTGTAGCAGAAACATGTATTCCTTTATTTTTTTTTCCCTTCAAACAGGGAGTTGACAAAAACTATGACTCCTTTTGCAAACGTTGCTTCCCCCATGTGTCACCATTAAATGAATTATTTACATTTTCTTAACATGAGAATAATCCAGGGAAAACTGATAATCCTAGATAATGGATATCCCAAATCTATTCTGTATGCCATGATTGGTAATCAAACGGTTAACGTAAAAAGTGGAGGCAGGAGCAACCAGCTAGCCTGGCTAAGAAAAGAAAATCATGAAAGGATTTTAACGGCTGTGCTGGAAAGCTGAAAGTGGAAGAGGAATAATAATCAGAGGTTCTGACTGAGGCAAAAAGTGTTAAGTGTTGTGGAGCACTGCTCTACTGTGAAGTGATGGGGTGCTGTGCAAAACTAAGCTAATCCTAGCTATCGTCTTATGCTTGTAAATGTCTCTTAAACTACTCCTTAAAGTTCCAAAGTAGAGGAAATCAGTCAGCATGTGAGTAATCTTCTGAAAAAATAAATAAATACATGAGGTGTCATTGTTGTGGGTTGTGTCACTCTCCATGGTGCTGAATCCAGTGAAAGCACTTCCATTAGCATTGTTGGTCAAGAGATAGGGTAATAAAGTGAATGCTACCCAATCAGGGGCAGGACTCAGTATGTAATATCACCTCTGCAACTGTCTCAGGTCAGTATATAGTTTTATTTAAGCTTTTGTATGACTGTAGCTCTGTTTATCCTCCGCTTTTTTCTTCTTTTTTTCACAGGCAGCAATAATAATGGGTAAACATGTCATTTCAACAAATAATTTCTGTTTATTTGTGTGGTATCTAAGGGTTTGCTGTGATGTAAACATTTATCCCTCCTTTTCCTGTTTGTTTTTTCCTGTCCCCTCCTCCCTCCCTCCTGGGTCAGTATCCTGGGGATGCATCTGTTTGGTTGTAGGTTTGGGTCAGAGAGAGACGGAGACACTCTACCAGACAGGAAGAACTTTGACTCTCTTCTCTGGGCCATAGTGACTGTCTTCCAGGTGAGCTTGTCTTCTCTTCCCCCTCTTCCCCAGTGCTGTTTAGTGGTGCTCCAGGCTTGTTTATTCCTCACTGCTTGTTTACAGTCACCGTCTTGAAACAATAAAAAATAAGCAGCATGAAGAAATTACAGTATGTATGTTCATCAGCTGCCTGTTTAATCTAACTGTACCTGTCAGAGTGGTCCCTCGAGCAACTAACCTCCAGTAAGATCTCCTTGAGTCTTGGTGATGACTGAACATGCTCCTGTTCAGAGCCTGAAAGACCTCTTCCTCCTCCTGAATAAATAAAATCTATCAACCTCTTCCCCTATGGCCCCGCTAGACCTTTTCTGTCTTCATCATTTTCTTCCAGTCATCTAATTTCCTATTTCTGCCTATCTTCTATAGGTTATGTAGGCTTGTGCTTTGCATTATGTCACCTTAGATTCATGAATTAACCGTAACTGTGGGGGTCCAGCATATATCACTCTCAATATAGTAACCATTTATTATTCACCTGACTGGCTGTAAGATGTATGCATGTTTCTCTGTACAGACCGTTGTACTGATGTGTCCGTTCCCATGGAGAGCTCAAGTGTATCTTCACTGCTTCAATTTGTTGAACAGAATGATGAAAGTTTACATTTTAATGTTGCGTTTTTCTGAAACATTATCCTTCAGCACACAACTTCGTAAATTCAGCAAGTTTTTGCCGTACTCCCGCACTTCACTGAATAAAGATGCAGAGATTTTGTTAAAACCACTTCTTCTATTGCAGCTAAAAGCTCTGCTGTTAGTAGGTGAGCCTTTGAGCTTTGATTAATGGCAAGAATGAGCATCTAATGCATTTCTTTAACTGATCTGTGTTACTAAGACCAGGAATTTAAAAAACATAGATAGGGGAGAGAGAAAAAAAATCACAGTTACTTAAAATCGGCATATTCTCATAATCAAATATTGCTGCTCTGTCAAGCTGTGAAATCTCACAAGGTGTTCTTTGGTGCTGGTACAGTGGCGCTGGTTAAGGACTCTATTTACACACATGAACCTGAGAAGGTACTAATAAAAAAGGGCTATTACTAGTCAAATAAACATATTCTTGGGTCCTAATCAGAGAAAGGCTGAATGCAGTCTAAAGCAGAATTGAGAAAATACTACTAGTATTTTCAAAATATGTTTTTTTCTGATTAACCAAAGATTTAAGTGTATTTAGACAAGGGTAGTCAGGAAGGAAGGTCAATGAGACACCAACGTCAATAACCAGACAGGGAGCGAACCTTCAAAATAAAACAGGAAGTATACTGAAAGAGAGAGTCACAGACAAAAAAACGCAATGAGACAGGGACAGAGAGAACAAGGAGGCAAAGATAAAGAAAAAAGATAAAACAATACAAAGAAAGAAGGAAACTAAGCATTTATGATGAAAAGCTTTTACAGCCTTACAAAGACTTTGAAAAAAGTCCAATATTTTTGCCAGCAGTACACAAACAATCCAGCTACAGCAAACAGGTTTCAACTTCTAATCTTTACTAGTTACCATTTACTGCACGTTACAGTCTACATGAGGCCCAATATGTTGTTTTAAAAAAGGCTTAAATAAGTATCTCATTAACCTTCCAGGGTCTAAATCATCATCAGCTGTAACTCCAACCCTGGGCAATCAGAATATACAACTTTTGTTTTATTAAATTGATCTCTCAAGTCTACACAATCAGGGAAGAAATAAAATAACCTTTCTGACTGATATGTGTTAACAAGTGTTCAATTTATTTTTCTCAGAAAAGCCATTTAGCCTCTCTGCTAAATATAGTTAGTGTTATCACCAATGACAGCTTATACCTTAGAGGATTAACAGGTAAGTTCTTGCAAAAATGCAGTAGAGGGGGGAAAAATGTTTGTTTGTCAGCAAAATTTGTCAAAAAATGCCGAGCTGAATTGCACTGATCTTGGTAGGGGTGTGAAGTATGAAACATTATCAGGACCGGTGAAGACTTAGACCTCACACGGGGAAATTTCTAGAAGAATTGCTCAACAATACTTTTACCTATAAGCGCCTCTCTTACTTTCTCTGCAGATCCTAACACAGGAGGACTGGAACAAGGTGTTATATAACGGCATGGCCTCCACTTCTCCCGTAGCTGCGCTCTACTTCATCGCGCTAATGACCTTTGGCAACTACGTCCTCTTCAACTTGCTTGTTGCCATCTTGGTTGAAGGGTTTCAGGCAGAGGTACAACTAAATTGAAGTTAAATTATTGGGCTGTATCTTGTCACATTGTTTCTCTTTTAAAGCTCTCGATGATTTGATGTACCTTGCTGTCAGATCTGTATTTGTTTATATCTTTATCTACATAGCACAAAAAAAATAAATAAAGGAACACTTTTTAGTCAGTTAAACGTCTGGGACATTGATCTGGTCAGTTAAGTAGCAGACGGGGTGCACTAGAGGGGCAACAATGAGACAACCCCCCCAAACAAGAATGGTTTTACAGATGAAGGCCACAGACATTTTTTTTTACTCCTCATATTTTCTGACTGTTTTTTCTTCATTAGTTTTGCATTTGGCCAGGGTCAGTGTGTGATACTGGACCCTATAGAGGTTGCACAGGTAGTCCAACTCCTCCGGGATGGCACATCAATACGTGCCTATACCAGGTTTTCTGTGTTTCCCAGCACAGTCTCAAGATAATGGAGGAGACTCCAGAAGATAGATAGTTACTCCAGGAGAGCTGGACAGGGCTGTAGAAGGTCCTTAACCCATTAGCAGGACTGGTATCTGCTCCTTTGTGCAAGGAGGAACAGGATGAGCACTGCCAGAGCTCCAGCAGGACACTGGGGTGAATGTCTTTGACCAAACAATCTGAAACAGACTCATGAAGATGGCCTGAGGACCTGCCATCCTCTAGTGGGCCATGTAATCACTGCCCAGGCACCATGGATCCTGATTGGCATTTGCCATAGAATACCAGGAGTGGCAGGTCCACCACTGGAGCCCTGTGCTTTTCACAGATGAGAGCAGTTCCCCTTAGAACACTGAATGATATAAAAGAGTCTGGAGAAAAAGTTTGAAGAACATTATGCTGACTGTAAAATCACTCAGCATGGCTGGCTTGGAGGTGGATGGCCAATCCATGGAGGGATGCACAGGCCTCTTTAGGTTTGGCAATGTCACCCTGACTACAATCAGCTATCAGGATGAAAACCTTGTATCCATTCTCAGACCCTGATGCAGTGGGTTCTGGGTTTCTCCTGGTGCACAACATAGCTCAGCCTCATGTGGTGAGAGTATGCAGGCAGTTCCTGGAGGATGAAGGAATTGATACCTTTGTCTGGCCTCCACGCTCACCTGAACTAAATCCACTAGAACACCTTCGGGATATTATATTTTGGCCCATGTGATACCACCAGGCTTCACCACAGACTGTCCAGGAACTCATTGATGCCCTGATCCAGATCTGGGAGGAGACCTCCAAGGACCTGGGAGGCCATAAAAACTACTGACTACCATTTTTGAGTTGCTGCATTGAAGCTTCAGCAGAATGGACTAGCCTGCTGCATTATTTTTTTTTTTCCATGTTGATTTTTAGGGGGTCTTTGAATTAAGCCCTCTGCAGAATGATAATTTTCATTGGCATCAAAAATTGTGGCATCCTTTCACTTGTAACACATTGCCCAGACCTTATCAGTACAGATATCCAGCATGATTTTGTTCCCCAATGAGATCTGATGTGTTTAACAAAGTGTTTTTTATGTAGTTATTTTGAAGTCTTTGCTTTCATGCTTCATATTTTTCAGTGCAGGACCACATACCTCAACAAAGAACTAATTGTATAAGCACTAACAAAACGTACCTTTTCTTGCACTCGTTGCAGCGGGTTATGTGAGGACACAGGGTTACGCATAGCAATGCAGTATTTCATTTTTCCTGTCTCCCCTTTGTATTCATCTCCGTTTCTTTCTTTTCTTTGCTGTCAGCCACTTCACCTCCTACGCTTTCCCACTATCTCAGCAGTCATCCTCATTATTGTTCTGCTTATTTGCCAGCGCCATAAAGTACATCATAAGAAAACTATGTCCGCTAGACCAGACTGTGCATCAGCCCACATCACCCAAATCCCCCTGTTTTAAGTTTCATGCTCAGATATGTTCTCGCCCCCCTTCTGAATCTTCCCCCTGCTTATTGCGAATTGTTTATTGTCATAAAACAAAGGTGATATGTTGTCTGCCACGGTGCTGTGTTTGTGAGCTCAGATAAGAGCAAGAGGCAGCTGGGGGGAACAGTCACAGGGCTGCAGGAAGAAAGCAGCTAAAACTCATTGAGAGACCACTCTTCAGGCTTCAGCCAATGTTTTATTTGAGACAGATCGAGTGAGTCAGAGAAAGAAATAGAGGGTGAGAGTAAATCGCACAAGTATCCAGTCTATCCCCACCTAGCTGCTTGTCTCCTCCTCTCTCTCTCTCTCTCTCTCTCTCTCTCTCTCTCTCTCTCTCTCAGCTTTTAAAAGGTGACAACACCTGTGCTTTGATCTCTGACACTCTTTAGCTCTCTGAGAGGACAGAGAATAGATGGTAGGTAGCAGCAAGAAAGGTTGACAGGCTCATACAATATGGATTAATTGGAATGGGCTGCTTTTTCTATTGCACTCACCTGCTATCAAAATATCAAACGCAGTATTATGGTGAATGGAATTCCACAGAGGTTTGGGTGCAAATCACCCAAACTGCTTTGGATGAAAGCTCCGGATGGAGGCCAAGCATAAAGTAAATTAATTTGCGTTGGCGTCTTGAAGTCAGATTGGGAATGATGCATTAATCCATCTATATTTTTGCACTTCCAAAGTTAGCGTTTTAACATCATATCAATAAACTATAGGAGATTTTCCCAAGTACAAGAGCCTTCTGAGGATTCTCAACCTGCTTTTCTAGTGGAACAATGGTCTAAATTAACTGACGTTCAGTTTGCCTGTAAGGCAAGGCAAGGCAAGGCAAGGCAAGGCAAGTTTATTTGTATAGCACAATTCAACAACAAGGTGATTCAAAGTGCTTTACAGAGACATTAGAAACAAGAACAAATAAAAAGCATGATTTAAAATTGATTAAAACAAGCAAACTAACTAACTAACTAATTAACAAACAAACAAACAAACAAACAAACAAACAACAGTATATAAAATCAAAACAGATAAAATCAGAACAGTAGATAAAATCAGTAGTTAAATGTAAGTTTTGAAATTTAAGCTTAAAAGTGTGGATTTGGTGCTTTATTCAAATGCAGCTGAGAACAGGTGAGTCTTCAACCTGGATTTAAATAAACTGAGTGTTTCAGCTGATCTGAGGCTTTCTGGGAGTTTGTTCCAGATATAAGGAGCATAAAAGCTGAATGCAGCTTCTCCGTGTCTGGTTCTGACTCTGGGAACTGATAAAAGACCGGATCCAGATGACCTGAGGGATCTGGAAGGTTCATACTGGGTCAGGAGGTCACTGATGTATTTTGATCCTAAACCATTCAGAGCTTTATAGGCCAGCATCAGAACTTTAAAGTCTATCCTCTGACGTACAGGCAGCCAGTGTAAAGACCTCAGAGCTGGACTGATGTGTTCTACTTTTTTGGTCTTAGTAGGATGTAGGATGTACTATCAGTACTAGTAAGGCTGGAGCAACTGATAGGACAGCACCAAAGTCAAGGTTTTTCTTGTGAATTTGATCTTGTCTGAACTTTAGTTGCCTACTGGAGTAGACAAAATATTTTCTGGGGCTTTCAGCTTTGTTGGAAATACAAACCACAATGTGCTAGTTAGCGAAGGTTCTTGGAGTGTTTTGTTGAAACGCTTACTGGCAGAATTGTTAGCCCTCAAGTTAAGTTTTGTGGCCAGAGTGCTGCTATTTTCTGTTAGATTAAGCATTATAGTTATTTCTTGTCACCACAGCTGTGGCCATGTAAAAAAGACACTAAAATGCAAGAAAAGCGCTAGTGCGAATTAGCATTACTTTTGCTAGCCGGGCTAGCTAGCCTTTGCTTTCCCAGCGGAATAAACGATTACATCTTCTGCACTGCTATCCAAAAGGTTTTTTTTTTTCAGAGTAATGGTTTTGTTTATCAATCCACTAACACTGACTTATGAGTAATCGGAGTATTAAAAGAAAGCAGCTAATTACAAACAACACACAATGTTAGCTTCTACCTGGTGAAGAGCAGGTAGAAGCTAGCATTGCTAAATATGCAGCTGTCTCTCTCAGTGAGTGATCGGGACAAAAACAGTTTTTAAAAAAAAATATATATACTCACATAAAAACAACATTTGATGACAAACTCTGTACCCTTACTGACGAGTTAAGAAACCTCTCCAGATAGACTGATTGATGAAAGGTAATTTAAAAGATCATACTACTTCAGGATTTGCATTTAAACATTTTTTTTAAATTTTCCCATAAACGGCTGCTATATCCATTTATGTTAGTAACTATAAGACTGCAGCATATGTTGAATGTTTTGGTCATTAACTAATGTCATGTCTTGTATCCTAATTTTTGCCTCATAACTTTTGCACTGTCCACTTCCTGCTATGACAAAACAAATTTCCCACGTGTGGGACTAATAAAGGTTATCTTATCTTATCTTATCTTATCTTAAGCCTGATACTGTAGATAAGTGCTTATATTTTCTAACACAAAGATAAAACTAATTTGTGCTAATGTCATTTTGGAAATGTGAATAAATGTTTACTTAAGTAGAAAAGAAACACAGATTAGAAAAACAACTGCAGGCTCACACAGTACAATGCACAGCCTACAGCTGTATGAGGAAACCTTTATGCTCTTGTATTCCCCCTCTGCCCTCCTGTATTACTGCAGAGCTGCCGGCGTAATTCTCCCTACCTTCTTTTTTTCAGCTTTACATCCTTTTCTGCAAACACTAAGTTTATTTTTAGTCAGCCAAACTTTCCCTGCGTCAGGGTTGCTAGGTAACGGGCACTTGAATGATGTGAGCAAAGCCAGGAGACATGTACGCCGTTGGTGCCAAGTCACACACACACATACAGCCTCATACAAAGAAGTGGAGTACTTCAAATGCCCATATTGCTTTGGAATTAAAGACAGAAGGGACATCTTATCATGCTTATCATTTTTTGTTATCTTAACTCCTTCCTTTACCCCTCACATCACCATACTCATAATCTTCCTGCTCTTTACCAGTGTCCGCCCTCACCATTGTGTCCTTTTGTCAGGTTTTGCCCATGTGTCTGTTTGACAGAATCCAACATCTGCTGCAGAGAATGCAACCAGACCACCTTAGAGAGAGCTTTTAACAGAAGAGAGGGAAAAGTGTTTCTTTCTTTTTATTGCACTTCTCACTGTGACAATAAACATGCATTTGACACCAAAGCACCAACATGCACTGTATGGGCCAGATGCAGAGGAATGTTTCCGTGCCGGTTTCTACTGCACAGTCACGAGTCTGGAGGATTCATGCTTATATGAGGATCATTTTCATATCTGCTTTGTGAGAAAATGATTTCATCACACGAAACATCAGTGGGCTGCCTGGTGGATAAAACACGGCTGTGCATCACCTCTGTCCTGCAGTCCTGACTCCCTGAGCTTTCAGACCGCTGAAATGCACATGTACGGCTCACGACTGCACACTGCGATCCAGGACAGTTGCTTTGACATGTTCTGTCGCATGGTAAACTGCAAATGTTCCAACATGCTGAATCTTCTCTAACCTTCTCCTTCTGCTCTCGTCTGCTGCTGTGATTCAACCTCTCACCTCCGTGCCTCTTTTCCTGTGTGTGCCTCCCTCTCCTGTCCGGCTGCACCGATCACTTCCGCTAATAGGAAGTGGCCAAGCGGGAGGACTTGCATGCCCAGCTGAGCCTCATTCAGCTGCCTGTTGTTTCAGGGGTATGTACAGCTCTGCAGCTCCACCTTCCCTTCTTCCATTTAGCTGACTGACCGCCCTCTCGCTCCCTTGCATCAGCTCTCCCTCTCCTCCCCTTCCCTCCCTCCCCCAGCCCATACAGAGACTTTACGGTGATGCCTCTGACCTCTCAACAGCTACACCTTGGAGTTCTGTTGCAGAAGCGCCATTAATGACTGATTGATGAATATCGCCATTCGCGCGCCCCTAACGTTTTGCCTACTAAATTAAAAATCCTAATATGTGTAAGTAATAAGAGATGGCTCTAAACACAGCTTGCTCCTAGTGTCTTAAAGGGACATTTTAACCAAATTAGGAAAAAGAATTTACTTTCAAACTTGCCCCCTGGTACCTCCTAGTCGTGCAGAGTAGTTTCAATTTTATTCACAGAAGTTTTGAGATCTTTGCTGCTGCCAATCCAATCCAAGAGAGTACTGAAGTGGGAGCTTTTCCAAGGTTAGAAAGGACATTAAACTCTCTTGGCTAAGTTATGAGTACATAAGATGAGCAACTGTGTTTCTCTGATTGGAAAGCAGCGAATAATTCCCAAGGAGAATGTTAGGAGGAAATCGTTTGTTCAAATGCTGCAAAAGTCTTTGTTCATAGGGCTGAAGTCTGGGCCAATCTAAGGTCAGGTTGAAAAACTACAATAGAGTTATACTTTTTTCAAAAAAATCAGTCTTTTTATATTTGACATCCTGGCTGTCCCGTGTCTCGGTCCCTCCACCGCCCCAGCCTCCATGTGTACGATTCGTTCAAGATGGTTTTTTACTCATCACTCCACAATGAACGTATTCCCAGGAAGTGATGAGCTCAGAAACAAAACAAAGAAAACATCTTGAGATTGAAAATTGTGCTGCCTGCAGCATGTATTCAAAGCCATTTCCATAAAAACAGATATAAATATATAAGATCGCCTGCAAGCACCAAGTAAATACAATGAAAACTCAACATCCCTTCTTTCCTTTGTCATTATCCATAAAAGTCCTGTAATAAATCGTCAGATAATTATAACTGACCATTTATATTTCACAGTAATTATAAAAACATCTGCAGACTCTCCTGTTGGCTGTATTTTACACTCAAGCTTAAAAGACCATGGAGCTAGTGGTAGATGGAAAAAAGATGTCTTTCAATAAAGACATTTCAAACGAGCAGTTCAGCATACGTAACAAGTCAGCTAATTCAGTGTCGATTCATCACAGCTACATAAGCTGTGTCTTCCTGAGTGAAGAGCACAGAAAGCCAGTTTTAAGTCATCCAAGTGGCCTTGCGGCAAAAGAGCTCCAATATGGCTGCCAGACGAGTTGTCACATCATCTAGAAGTTCTCTAACCCTGCATGGTGTCTTTTCTGTTGATACTAAGAGCAGCATCGAGGGGCTGCTGTGTGGAGTATCTGAAAGACAACATAGGCTTTGTTGTGTGTGTTTTCCTACTTTCTTGTCCTACCTTAAGAGCAGACTCCACATCAGAAAGCTCAACTCCCACCAGCCCTCCACCCGTTCTGTCTAGCCTCCAGATAAGAACAATCCACCAGCTCAGCCAAAAAATCCCCCCTCCTCTCTGTTCCTGTTTTATCTGGCTGGGCCATGTGGGAGAAACGGGGTGAGTGCTGGCTTTATGGTTGACCCCGGCACTGACAGAGAAATCCAGCCCGACTAAAGGATGAGAGGTAATAAATGGCTTGGGGGAAGAGGATCCAGGTTCTTACACTCAGTGAAATGAATCCTTTAAAAAAACAGATGAGTGTAAGTCTCGTCCTCACGTCCTCTAACTTTGCACACTTGAACACTATTCAAACTGATGCAGGACTTTTTATGTGGTAAGATTGTTCTGAGTCCAATATCATAGCTGGTAAAAATTCAACAGCTTACTAGGGGCAAGTCTGAGGCATGACATGGAGAATTTGGGTGGAGTCTGCTCTCTGGTGTAATGGTCAAATCGGTTATTAGTTTTATGTCCCTCTATTTCCCTCAAAGAGCTATTAGTACTCCATAGTTTGGTTACATTCTGCATGAGAGAACCCCTTAAACCCTGTAAGGTGATATTTTTTTAACTTAATTATTATTCTGTGAACACAACTTAACTGACATGTGTACCAGCATAACAAGTCCTTTCAGGACTTTAAAAACTCTGAAGAATATTCACTCTTTAATTTCAATTGATTTGAAAGGAAAAGTCAGTTTATCATTCAATTTGATTGGCTTTCTGGCAGTGATATTTTTTTCTTTAAAGTCTTTGCTGGCTTTTCACTGTCATTTTTCTTTCAGTGCCTTCCTGTGACTGGCTTGCTCCTTGGAGTTATCAGGCCAAGTTTTGGATGAATTTCCATGCTATAAATTTTTGGTACAGACATTAATAAACTGCACTAATTTGAATGAGTAAATCTTAAAAAAAAAAAAAAAAGGCAGGTTACATAATCAGAAAGAAGTCAAAGAACCCAAAACAGGAAGTATGACTGAGAAGGGAATGGGTGAAATTAGAAAGACAAAGAAGCACAGAAAAGAAAAGAAATAGAACTGAAACACTGCAAATACATAACAAAAACTACAAACCATGACAAAAATACCTTGTGCAAAAATCACATAAAAGTCTGCATTATGAAACAGGTGGGGTAGTCAGTTATACACAAGACTTCCATCCAGCAGAGGGAAGTTCAGTGAATCAGCTTTTAGTTCGTCCAGCTGACGGATCAGCGAGCTTGGTCCGTCCATTATCCATCCAACCCTCTGTTCACAAGAATCTCGGCTTCTCCTAGAGTTTTGGTCAAAACGTACACACAGTGATCAACTAATGGGTCTTCGCTCAAATTTTACTCAAGGCCTTGGTCATGTTTGCTATTTATGGGCACTTTAATATTTTCACAATACTCATAACACCTCGTTGAATATTGGTCTGATTTGAGTCAAGCAGCAATCACCTAACAGGTTTTCGCCATAGACAGTATAAAAGATGGAGGTAGCTACCGTTATGTCAGCCATTACCCGAGATGAGTGTTTCCAACTTCACTATCTGCACTACTGTGACAACAAGCAGTGGTTCTGGCTGCTCAACCACATGCTAATGACTGATGATTGACAGCACATTTGCCAATGAGTGTGCATGTTCATTTTGAGACATGGTGTGGCCAAGATTTACAAAAAAAGACTTGATTTTTTAATCAGTATGACCCAGAATAAGTGGCTGAGCAGTAAAGCAGAAAAGTGCTTACACAAGATCCATCATTTAGGACCAGAAGTCTTTTTGCAACCACAGTATTCAGCATTTGGTGACCTGAGATAGAATGCATGGTTGTTTCTCTGGTGGATCATGAACCTGATGAGCTATTATGTTTGTTTTTTCTTTTGACTTTATGTTGAGTCATTGTTTGGTCACCATGCTTTTTCACAAAGTAATGTTTACTTCTGCTTCCTGTCTAACTGGTGGACTGACCACTTAGAAAATATAAATTGGCTGAAAATATAAATACTGATTGCAAAAAAATATTTGAGGAGGAAATATCTCAATTAAAATTAATAATAGAAAAACAATTGACCTGAATTCTCAGCTAAATTTGTAGATGTTAGCATTTAGTTTAAGGATTTTAATTACAAACTTGCTAAAATAAATGTGGTTTTCAACAGGCTGCCAATAAAAAAACAGACTTTTAAAGTCATGCATAACATAAATATACTTTTTTAAATTACTTTTATTTCACTAGCTTATTCTTCCATAGATGTGAGTAGTGTTTTGGTGTTACAGGACAGTATACATAGGCAAAGGCAAATCTGATTCTGTGTGATGTACAGCTGTGGTAGGCTACAAATTTTGTGGACACGTGCACACACACAAACACACACATACGCGTAAACAATTACTCCACTTCCTCCTATCAACAGCCACCCTCCGTTTCCCATTTACACCCTTTTTGAAGCAACATAATTGAGATCCCCCGTGTGCTGCCGGTGTCTATTATTGTCCGGCTATCAGCAGCAGACCTGGTCTGGCCCATCTCCTGCTCCCACCACCGTGCCCAAATTGGGGTGGCAGAGTGTAAACAACCTATCCAAACAACCAATTTCAGGACCAGGGATTTCCCTCGAGTCCACCCCCCGCTTTGGTTTAAAGCTTTTATTCCCCTTTTCTTATCCCCAATGAAACCTTCATTGTGTAATTCTTGGTTAGAATACCAGATGCACAGACGGCACCAACATGCCAAAAGAGCACAGCCAGGAATTAAACCTGCAATCAGCCAGTTGCTAAGTAATAGCGTTAGCTATTTTAATGAAAATTTAAACATTTTCAAAATTTTCTATCTACAGGATCCAGATAGATGACAATCTGAAGATTAGCATTGTCCAGATCTTGCTCTTTTGACACGTGTAGGGAGGACTGCCCTTTTTAAGTTACTCTGTCTGTATTGACCTGCTAGTGCCACCTGTAGATAAATCAAAGGTCATGCTGCTGCAACACAGTGATTAGATCAGACTAATGTTGCTCTTCAAGTAATGTTTGCTGCTGTAAAAACAAGTAACATTTGGATGGCATTTTTAGGTTATTACATAACAAAACTATTGAAGTACCTGCCGTATAGGAATATGCTAGAAAGATGGCACATAACAGAAAATTAGTAAATGGAAGACAACATATTTCACTATAAAGCACCAGAATGATCTGTATGATATGTTCCAGGAGAAATCAAAGCAAATGTTCCATCAGAGCTCACCAAGATCTTTTAGAGTTATTTTTCTATAGTCTCACTCTTTCATCTCTGGAGGGTGATGAAATCATACAAGATTAAAGCCTGAGGATCAGTGCAAAACAAAACAGGAAAAACTTGCAAAGATGCATGTTGTTGACCTCACTCTGTTTTCTGCCAGTAACAAAATTTATGTCTATCCATGCCTTCTAGATATCTTCTATTTGATTTTATATGCAAACCTGGCCTCTAAATGAAATGGGAGGGTATTTAATCACACATACTTTGCACTGTTTGATTCAGTC